GAACAATGGCTGACATTCACCATTTGGGTGTACTTTTATTTGGTACAGATGTCCATTTAGACCTGTGCAATTAAACCGGAGGCGTGTAATAATAACTTCTTGATGTCTGTTCGTGCATTCATACTTGATGTGAGAAGAAACAACAGGAACAATTTTCTTGTAGATATTGGAATGTTGCACGGAATTCCATCTACGCTGCCAGGAATCTAAAATGAATTGACAAACTTGGTCATAGAGGTCACCAAGTTCAATAGAAACGTTTGTGACCCCAGGATATGCTAACGCATTATTGGCAAGATGATCATCTTTCTCATTTCTCCTATATGGCTAGGGACACAAAGAAATTTGATGACCATACGGCGACATAATCGGATAAGGTATATAAATACTTCACTCAGTAACATTGGGTTAGATGTAAAAGAACCGTTCTTAATCGAAAGTAATGAAGTTAAAGAATCACTGACTATCAGAGCCTTCGTAACCTCGGAATCTTCCAGCCACAGAAGGGCTTGTAAGATAGCAAACAGTTCAGCCTTATATACAGAAGTAGGTGCAATTTTAAATGATTTTCTGATGTTGAGATTGTTTATATAAAATGCCGATGAAGTAAAACTGGTAGACTGTTAGATACTAGTATAGTCTGAGAAACTAGCTAGTTTCTCCTTGGCCAAGGACAAAAGCAAATAACTTTGCTCCCGTTTTTTACCAGCATAATGAAGACTGACGTCGACATCAGGGGTTGGAATCTCCCAAGGAGACATTTTAAAGGTTCACGGACAAGAAAAAGTCCGTTTTTATCGACATTGGTGAGTTATTTTGGTAAAAGGTTCCGCAATAATCTTGCCAATTCTTTTGAATGAAATGAACGGGATAATCGTAATACAAAGATCTTGCTATAAATTTGAGTTGGATCTTCCGTCTCTGCAGATCAAGGGGTAGGACACCACAGTACACTTCCATAGCCGATATATGGGCGTGTTTCAATGCTCCACAACATAATCGCAGACAACGATTCTGAATAACTTCCAGTTGTTTAAGGACTGAGCGACTCGCAGAGTCATAAATGATACTGCCATAATCAATGACGGATCTTAAGGTTTTGTACATAAGTAATAGTCTTTTTGGACGCTT